AAACACGACGTTACTTTTATGCGGCTTCAGATCCTGTATGAACGGTCTGGATCTAAAACTGATGACACTCCGTTTTAAATTTTAAGGGTATTTCTGTCATTGCGATTTTAATTTGAAATTAATCCTATCGCTATATGGAAAACAACTTCTAGAAACGTTTTTAACTGTAGATGTCCTTGAATTTTGACTCGAGTTGCAATTGGGTCTCCAAACATATTTTTGAGGCAATTACATCCGTTAACTCGACAAATAGTTCCAATCGGGTTCTTCATCCATCATCGACCCCAACAGCCCCACCTCCATCTTCAAAGCCTTCTCCACCGCCCACAAAACTGCAATCCTGGTTATGAGAGTGAGTTTTTCAAATACAAAAGCCATTCAAGCCATGACTTTAATGAACTCCAAGTTTTTCAATCCCGAAGACCAAGTTCAAACTTAAGTTCATCATCCTCTTCAAATAGACAAAGACCGAGAAAAGCCCGGGATGAATTGTAGAGAAATTGAAGCTAATAATACAAACAAACTCAACGATTTGCAGCCACAATTCAACTTTTATGAAGGATTAAGCCATTAGAAGCAAAACCCCAAAACTCAGAAACCCCTAAGCCCGTCGATGGGGGTGGGTTGCAGCTTGGGTTGGGATTTGGGTTTTGAAGGGGTGGGATAAGGAGGAGGGGGAATGGGTTGTGGGTGTAGGGGACTTTTTCTTCTGGTAGCAGCAAGTGGGTTGGGCTGTTGCAAGGAGCAATATGATGCAAGTGTCCCCTTGTGTCTGAGTTCGAAGATTAAGCCCCAAGAACGTCTCGAAAGGGGAGGGAAGCCTTAGGAAACCCCTTGGTTACCTTCACCAATGAAAATAGCAACAAATTACAGATAAATCTTCTAGCTTGGCATGAGAGACTTATGGCATGGGAGCAAAATTATCATGGGTTTAGCACTTAAGGAGAGAGAGCTGTGGGTTCCTATGAGAGACAGAGGTTCTAATGGAAGGAGAAAGGGATTCTAAGGAGGTTTGATGAAGAGGGAGAAGGATGGTGAAGAATTATGGGTGGCCTTAGCAGTTTCCGGTAGCTTGACAGTGACTCTATCAAAGCTATAGCAATCTGCCAGAACAGGGAAATAAGGGCAATGGGCAAGCAAAGCACAAAAATTACTGGGTTTGCAGGTGAGAGAGGAAGCTTGCTCTTTGAAGGGTGTGTTGGGTAGAAGGGGTCCTATTTATAGCTGTTGGG